ATAAGGAAATATGACGGGGAATCAAGCAGAGAAACACGAGATAACTGGGATGAAGGAGACGGAGAGAGCGACTGAGCATAGTGTATGGATGTATGTGGTTGTTGGTTTTCTGTGTGATTGTCCGGGTTTCTTGGTACAGTGTTCTTAATCTTTGTGTTAGCTTTATCACTAAGACTATCTGAAATCTTAAAACTAGTTAAAGTTTCCGGAAAGAGGGATGCCAGCTCTGATAGTCTGGCCGCGGCCTCGCCGTAGAGTTCGGTTTCGGCGGCTGCGCCTTCTAAGAATTGTTGCACGCAAAACTCGGTTTCGGGATTCCACTTTAAACAAAATGAATTTTCTTTTTTTTGTGTAGACTAGTGAGTAATTTTAGTAACAGTACAGACCAATGTTTGTGGATTTTAAAAGATAGTTGTTTTAACGACTCTAGTCACTTGAACTCAAATTTTTTTATGTCTCCAAATATTTTGCTTTACTAATTGTAAGCGCGGGAATCCCTGGATTTTCTTGCCATTATACATCTAGTACTCAGTATTTTTTGTTGACTCGAGATCAATGCTACTTCAAGATCCAAAGATCCGGACGTTCTAGTCAGGAATGAGTGATACTTTATATGTGAGTGGTCTATTGACCACAGTACGATTCGACATCAGATTATTTGACACCGTACGATTCGACACCGTACGATTCGACACCGATTTATTTAACACCAAATTATTCGACACGAATAATTTGGTGTCAAATAATTTTGTGTCGAATAATTTTGTATCAAATAATTTTGTGTTCAATCTGTGTCCAATTATGTGTCAAATCGAGCAGTGTCGAATCGTATTGTGGTCGGTACACGCCCGTCAGGAATCGGTCGTCTAATTTTGAGCAGAGTGCTTCCTCAGAAGTTACCGGTCAACTACTAGGTTTACTCACTGATCGTGGAACTTAGAACTGCTCGCGTCGGTAGATTGGCGGATGAGTAGAGTGGATTTTCGTAATCACACTTTTAACTTTTTAAATTTGAGAGCTCAATGGACATACCACAAAAAACTGAGAGGGAACAAACGTGCTCCGATGCTTCAGCAGTTTTTTATATTTGATAAGCTCGGTGCGTTACTTTTTTTTCTTAGCCAATTATCATTAGATTTTTATTCCCTTCTCCTTAGTGACACAAATTACGATTTCTTATTTGTCAATCCATTAACGGCCACTTCTCTTGACCCACCAGACGTCCGCAGCCTCCTGGAACTAGCAAACCGCCCAGTTTCCTTAAAAATTGGCGAACCGTCCAGTCTTCTCAGAAACCGGTAGACCATCCAAGTCTTCTTAGAAACTAGCGGACCGTCTAGCTTACGTGCCGTTTACGTTAGCGGCAAGTCGACACGACCGGTCTCGAATGTTTTAGCTGAACTCGCGGTACGGACTTGTATGTCCGACTGCAGATTTAATAGGTCCAGTAAAGGTTAACTTAAATAAATTCTAAAAACCTTAACCTGGATCTTAGAGTCCAGGACGTAACAATAGAATAACAAAAAATAGAAAGTATAAAATAGAATAGATAGTATATAATAATTCTATCAATAGTTAAACTTTGCTTTTTGTAAAATCTAAAAAAATAATTGTTGAAATATAAAAAAATTAATTAAGGTAAAAAAACTTGGCGTGGCTGCCTCAGATAGTGAATAAAATGTGTTTATCATGAACGTGTGCATAAATCTGATGATAACTAATCAGTAATATTTTAAATAACATTTTCTTTTCTCAAGCATTATTGTTATACATAATAGTTACTTGTGTTTTAACGTTGGAGTATTAAACATTTTGATAAACTTTAATTTTATAAATTAAATTTCTTTATTAGAAATTCTGTAATTCTCATATTCTTCAGCATGTTTAAACAAAGTATATACTTCAAGTAAATTACAACAAATTTTTATTTAAACAAGTTTTATGTATTTCAAGTAAATTATAACAAAGTATTATGTACTTTAATTAAATTATAACAATTTTTTGTTTTTATTTACACATGTAGGGAAATTTCCCCATTTTATTATTTTAATTTTAAGTCTTTTTTACAACATAAAAACTCAGATCTTTTATTTTAAACTTAAGAACATTTTTACAATATAATTCTTATAATTTTTCTTGAAAAAAAATAGAAGGCAATGTTTTAGTGAATTTGATTGGTCCGAGTTCTCGGCTAGAAAGTTGAGTCGGAAAGTTGAATTCCTCAGTTTGGGAAGCAATATCGTAGAAGTAGACTTCCGCTTGATTTCCTTTGGATGATGTCTCTATTTCTGCCTGTGTTCATCTCGATGAACTAGGTGTAGCAGACTGTGTCCCTCGGGTGATCCAAATGGTGGTTGTTTGGGAAGCCGTTGAGGAGAGTGAACAAATCGGCGATATTCTCCGAGGAAGATCTAAAATCAACTCGCTCGTTGGAGACAGCGGTCTATTAAGTCGTGGATCCCGATTGGCAAGAAGAATCCTGTGCGGTCGAGTCAGCTTCACCGGGGATAGATCCAAGGAAGCGATTTTCCACATTGTATTACACAGGGCGACGCAGAGCATTTGCCGACTCTTTGACACATTCTCCTCATTTTATAATTTCTTGAGGAAAATATATTATCAAAAAAATATCCCTTCTAGTGGCAATCAATTAAAAGCTTTAATAACTTGAACTTGTCTTTTTAATACGATCTGTCAAAGCTCGACAAATCGAACTGTCAAAATCGTGTAGGTTGGATCGGAGCGTTGTGGCGTGCGGGTTAGATTGCCACAACACATAAACTTAATTGTTAATATAATGTAAAAATAAAAAGTTTATTTTACATAAGTACTTTTAGAGAAATAGTATTTTTCTCTCTAAACTGGACGAGGAAAAGTGGAAATCTTTATCAAAAGTTTGTATTTGCTAAATGTTAGAACTATTTCACTTTACGTGCGATTCTAATTGGTTTGGTTTTTACAGTCAGTTAGTTATATATGTGACATAAAATAAATTGAAAATAGCTTGTGCGCAAACATAAAACACCGTCTGCTGTAGTTTTTGGTGCAGCCACGCCAATGTTTTTTGCTTTAATTATTTTTTATATTTCGACTTTTCACAAAAGGCAAAGTCTAACTATTGATACAATTATTTTATATTTTCTATTGTTTTCTGATGTTTTCAATAATTTAAAATGTTTCCTTGATGCAATTTTGATATCAATTCTTTTGTAACATAGGTTTTGTAGAAAACACATGTTTTGTAACAAAAATAAATATAAATGGTAAAATTAATCAGTTTGAGTTTAAATTTTTAATTTAAAGTAATATGTATTGTGTGCGTATACTTAACGTATACGCCTTGTTTTCTTCTTTTAGTTAAAGTATGTTATTTCAAATTAAATATTTTATATTTGTAACGGTCCGACTTTTAATACTCTCGAATTTCTCGGATAATTATTTTATTATTTTAATTTTAACGTTGCGGAGTAGCTCCACGAGTTAGGATTTTTTAAGAAATGAACTCAGAGTGACTCATGTTTAATGTTTACCAAGTAAAGCGTATTTTATTCAAAATGAATAAAGAAAGTTACAAAACAAACAAAATTAAAGAGAAGTAATAAATATATATTTGGTCATGAGAGCCGTTCGCTAGGTGTTGTGCGGAAATATTATAGGTGTATATATATACATATATACGTGTTCACGTGTAAATTTTTACACGTGAAATTCGAATTGTAATAACAATTCTAAAATTCATATAGGATGCTATACTTGCATCTCGTATATAAAAGACCCCAAATACCCCTCTAATTGAAATTAAATTTTATATTGCGAAAAAAACTCCTCGGTTAGAAGTCGAACCTGGACCTCCGGCTTTCCGTGCCGTCGCCTTTCCTATTCGGCCACCGAGGCACTTGGAGTTTGTCTCGCAATATTCATACATATTTATTCGAAAAAACGCCATCTTCCTCCAGCGTGATGAAACAATTAAAGAATCTTTCAGGCTCCGAAGTTTTCAAACTAATAAATATATATTCGGTCATGAGAGCCGTTTGCTAGGTGTTGTGCGGAAATTATACGTGTATATATATACATATATACGTGTTCACACGTATATATAATTTACACGTGAACACGTATATATAATTTACGTGTTCACACGTATATATAATATACAGCGCGCGGTGCAGGCGGCACGCAGGCCGCTATGCAGCGTATTTAATACAAGCTGCCAATATAACAATTTTATTCGGCGCTAAGCGCCGTTTTTGTGCCGGGACGGATGTTCGGTTTCGGCTGTAACGTTAGCATCGTTACATATTAACAAAACGCAACGTTTAACTATTGATACAATTTTATACTTTTTACTGTTTTATGATATTTTTAAGAATTTAGAATGTACAAAGATGTACTTGGTGCTACTTTTTCATATCACTTCTTTTGTAACGTAAGTTTTGTAGAAAAAAGATGTTTTATGGTAAAACTAAAATACATTTTTAAAATAAATACTAGTTTGAGTTAAAAATTTTAATTTAAAATATATAATACGTGTTGTGCGTATACTTGAAGCTTGTTTTTATCTGTTTTTTAAAAAGGTACGTTTTTTTCGGATTTTATAATCCTTTTGTGTAGCATTTATTTCACGTATATATATATATATAAATAAAATACATTTTTTACAATAAAAGTTTAAACTTTACATTTTGTCTATTATATCCTACTTGTTTAATTTCAACAAAATTTATGTACTTTTTGTCAAAAAAAGAATACAGACATTTGTAATAGCTTTAGGCCACTGGTATTTTCTCTAATATGTACATCAGTAACTTTAAACCAGCTAAATTTTCCTTCTCTATATATACAGCTAGAGATTTTCCTTTTCTACATATATTGTATAATGACTGTTTTCAATACACAATCTATTAGTAACTATAGCATTTGTTACTCCAGTCCGTAACTCGCGAGGCACTCGCGACAAAAGTTTTCAAATACATCGGCCAGCAAAAGTACGTCCGTCTTTAGATACAAGTCGCTGTACAATCCCAGATTTTCGATGTTAAATCGCTGCCATATACATTCGTCGTGTGCGCGTACTCGCTCTCCGTCACACTCTCGCCAGTCAACGAACTGTAAAACGCCTCGCGCGGTGGCAAACTTGTTTCTAACAATTTGTCAACGCTGTTCACATATTCATATGGAAACACACCTTTTCGCGTGAGCAGTTCAAAGTCCTCGGTAGAAAGATCTCCGAATTCCGTTCGAGTCACACGCAGTTCGCTTTTGCCGAGATAGGATGCGAGCTTTTCTAAGCTTGTGCTCAGAAATTTGTAAAAATCGATGAATCGCAGTTGCACGCACCTCTGATTGTCTTCGTTCCGCGTACTGTTTACATGTTTCGTGAAAGATATGTAGGTATCTTTCGTCACGGGTAACACATTGATCTCACCCTCGAAAGCGGTGGCCACATCCATGATAATAAAATGCGAGTCATATCCGGACAAGTTGTGGAACACAACGGGAACAACGTAAACTTGTTTGGAATTCAGATTGCACGCGAAGTGCGCGGATCCTCTGAAGCGCCCTGTTAGATGACAGTGGTCGCGCACCCTATTGTCATCTCGCTCGAACGGCTGTTTGCAAACGTGGCAACACTTAGCGTTCTTAAATCTCTCGATCTCCGCCGGTGTGAGATTCGCCATTGGTACATTTGCTGCGAACACGGTCTTTGCACGTTTCGCGAGATCGTGAAGTTCGTTCACGAACCACTGCACGCAGTTTTCACCTCTATGAGATCTGTATCCGATGTCGAAATGTTCGCAGCTCGCGTAATAACCGATGCTGAACACACTGTGTTTTTGGTACTTGTGCTCGCTTGATGTATCCTGCTTTTTGTCCTGTTTTTCGAGTACGCACTCTAAGTCGGCGTACACCACCATTGGAACCCGTTCCTTGTTGTTGTAATTTTCGAATTTCAAACGGTTTTTTCCCTCAGCGGGGAGAACCACTGCGCTGTTGTTCAATCGTTCACAGTCCACGGTGTGTTGCGCCAGTTTCTCGCTTGTGTGTAAGTAGTGTAGACATCTGTGTACGCGTTGCAATAAAAAACAATACACATCATTGATTCATGAGTGCAACCATCTCGTAATTTGAACGGTCATTTTGGTTTGTACTTACCGATCGCATATTACTTCGCTGTCTTCTTTTTGCTCAATTGCAAGCTGACTAAGCGCGATAAATGTTTTATCCACGCGAAGTGTCCCACGTGTCCATTGCGTTGATCGGGAACATACAACAGATTCACATGCTTGTCCTTCTTGTTCGATGTGAGATGCAGCGGCACGTATCCGTGTCCCTGTTCCGCCGCCGTAAACACGTTTTACGGACACGTTGTTGTTGTTGCGTTCAAAACGCGCGATTTGGTGCAATGTCATTGGAAACTCTATTCCATTAAAATTCAACACACTTGGGTACGCGGGATATTCGTTAATATTTATACTGTGATATTCGTTGAGAATATGAAGCGCTAGGATACAACGCGGCGACCACTGCCCACGCGAAACAAACATTGTCCCGCGACTGTACGTTTACTATCGCGTGTTTGAGCTAAACCTCACGCGGCATTTGGACCTGACATCTTGCGCGTATCGGATTGTAGCTGTTCACATTCACTGTGAGGTTTGGTACCTGCGCCAACGCCCAGCCTCTGACACGTTCCTGGAACTCCTCCAGAGCGGTCATTGTTGCATCTATCACGTCTCGATCGTACCACTCGCGCAGATCCGACGTGTGATAGAGTCCGTGGTTGCGCGTATTAAACGATTTCACACTCGTTTTTTTACCCGCCACAAACTTCCCGTTGAACACTGTGTTCACTTTCACACTAGCGTGCCGCGCAATCGCTCGATAAACGCGCGCGAGCACCGTGTTTCAAGCGGCTTCGAGAAAGCGACGGGGTTCGATGAACGACTTGTTCACTACGATACCGGTCACCAAACAATTTTTAACGCTGTCTCAACTTTGATCCATGCGAGTCCAGCACTCTCGACACCCGCACCAACGTGCGCGAATCGTTTGCGAAGGACCGCGCGCAGACTTTCGAGATTCGAGCGACGTGCCAATTTATCACACCTGTAGACGGTCGCGGGCGTTTTTTTCGGCACTCTTTTCTCAGCGTCTCTAGACGTTCGTCGCAACGTTCCTCCCACGAGATGTAATTATTCAACGTGTCGAGGAGCGCGACCTCTTCTTTGAGCGGTTCGCGATCGTTTATGTTTGCCATCGCTTATATACTTGTTGTACTTTTAAAATATTAAACTATTAGAAAGATAGAGCCGTACATCAAAACAGATTTTACGTATTGCGTCCTTGCACACTTTAGGAATTTCAAGATTGTGTGTATTTTTATAGAGCTTGCGATCTCGATTGCTCGCGATCAAAACGACTTGTAAATCGCTCCCAAACTCGACGCGCCTTTTTATTTTGCTCCTCATCTTCCTCGCGATTTTTTTATTTGAAATTTCAAATTTAAAAAAACCGTTAAAAAACCACATCCGGTACGTAACGGTTTTTTTTACGCAGTTGGTATCGCAGGAAATGATTACGGCTTGCGATCTATACGACTCGCGATCTCGATTGCTTGCGATCAAAACGACTTGTGATTTGCTCCCGAACTCGACGCGCCTTTTTATTTTGCTCCTTATCTGCTTTGCGATCTTTTGATTTGAAATTTCAAATTAAAAAAACCGTTAAAAAACCACATCCGGTACGTAACGGTGTTTTTACGCAGGTGGTATTGCAGGAAATGATTCATCAAACCGGAAGTGCCTGACCGCTTCGGCGATAAGAAAAGACGCATTTTCGGGAAAATTGCGGTTTTTCTCTGAATTATTATTATTATTATTTTACTACGCAGTTACGTGCACCGCTTCCAAGAAATTTACGATTTTGCTCGGAATAAGTTTACTGCGCAATTAAACATCCTAATTGAGAAGTAATATTATTTTAGCAATGACGTTATTATCCGAATAACCTTGAACACGCACGGACCTGTTTGAGTTCTATTTTTAGCGATGACGTAATCATCCTTGCGGTTTTTCTCGGAGTTGATTTACTGCGCAATTAAAAATGCTAATTATTATTTTAGCGATAACGTCATCATCCGAATGACCTTGAACACGCACGGATCTGTTCGAGTTCTAGTTTTAGCGATGACGTCATTATCCTTGCGGTTTTTTTCGGAATTATTTATTTTACTGCGCAGTTGTAGGTTTTTGATCATGTCCGTACGGTGATAGAGTGGGGGGAAATTTCTTCATTTATCCTTGGGATATATAAGGCGCTGCATGGTAACCAAAAACAGTCAGTCTCGCTGCGATCGTTCTGTGTGCTACGAGTTATCGCTCTTTCTCCTACTCCTCTTTGCAACGAACAGCTCGACGATGTTTTGCTCGATGGTTCCGATGAAAAAACAACAACCTTCTATTGATCTTCAGCGCGAGCCCCAACGCAACGGCACGAAGAGAAAGAAGTTTAATCAAAGGTAAGTAGTTTTTGTTTTGCTTTCTTTTTTGTTGCTTCTATTTTTATTATTTTTTATTCACGTTAAAATCATGTTTTTTAGTTTTTTTATTCACAGACAATGCAATGATGTTCAGTCAACATCGATTACACCTAACGTACCGCCACAGCGTACGCAGAAACTGAGTGCAAATACATCTTAACCAAAACGGGATACAAGTATTTTGAACTCGGCATTGGTATTTTATCGATGGATGCAACACCAATCGTTGACATAGCTCTAGGAGACAACAATGGGAACGAGGTGCTTCTGTCGTCAGAAATGTGGAAGGTGTTGTTGGACAACGAACGAATAATTATGTCCTATTTGTCGGGGCAGAGCGACGCGCAGCCGCCGATTCTTGTAGACGATCTGGCTGTATTGTTCAGCTTAATAAACAATGCAAAGATCATGCGTCTTACTACAAAAAATAGTTGCATAATATTGTCCTACCAATCAATGTGCAACTTGTTCACCTTGAAATATTGTGTTGCGTGCAACATCGCCTACTTGAACGACGCCGTTATTTGCGTGCAAAACAGATTGTCGCGGTATTTCGCAATCCAGTCTAAATTATCCGATCCCGCCAGCTTCGCAAATGCTGTCGCACAGAGCGGTGACTTTGATGTCAACGATATTGTCGATTGCGAACTGTTAGATGTATGTTACGGCGTTGCGCCTTAATAAATATTATTATTGTTTTGTTTCACTTTCATTTATGTAACTTTATTTTTTACAGGACATAATAAAAAAATTGCTCTGTTCTTCAATAACACAGTGTTTTTTATTTCACATTTCCTAACCACATATGCGTTCCCATTAAAACATTTTTTTAATTGTAAACACTTTTTCCATCAATAGTCCTCGAGAAATAAGCACACACATCCAGGACGTAACAATTTTTAATTTGCATGCGTTTTTAATAATAAATACTTATAGTACACACGCACCAAAAATGTGTAAAAAAAACCACATCTTATACGTAACAGTTGCAAATGTTATCGCAGGAAATAATTCATCAAGCCGGAAGTGCCTGATCGCTTCGGCGATAAGAAAAGACGCACTTCCGGGAAACTTGCGGTTTCCCTCGGAATTATTTTAAAAATCCTAATTATTATTTTAGCGATGATGTCATCACTATCCAAACGACCTTGAACACGTTCAAACACGGTACGACCGTCGACGCCATCACTAATGCTCACTTACCTGAAATAAATAAAACACGCCGAAATATGTATGCTCCATTTTTATGGCTCGTCGCTAATTGGTTAGTTCCGGTAGAGCCGATAACAACGCTCCGCCAACACTACCCACATTATCACGTTATCTCATCCGCAACGCCCAACTGGTTTCACTATTATGAATATATGTGCTTTATTATTTTACTGTACAATTTAAATATGTACTTGAGAGTTAATATTATTTTAGCGACAACGCCATCAAACGACCTTGAACATGTCCGTACGACCTTGAACACGTTTTGAACAGGTCCGTACGCCCCTCCCCCTCGCGCGGTTAATAAATTGAATCAATAATCGATCTTGTCTCGTGGGTACGAACGATTAATACTAATTTCTTTCGATTATTAATAATCAGTAATTGATATTCGATAATCGATAAGCCTCTCCCCTTGCCTTCCTCTCCCCGCGTCTTCCCCCTTCCCTCTTCGGCGCAAGCTGCCCCCCTTCCTTCCTCCCCCTTGCCGCAAATCTATTTTTCTCTCTTTCTTTCTTACAGATGTTTCCAGTCAGGCATGCTCAAACGCCTTAGATAGACAAGGTCAGTACATGACTGACCTATTGTAGAATAGTGGTCCAGAACCCCCCTAGTATAACTACTCCTATCACGAGCCTTCCTTTTTTGTAATTGTGTACCGCGTTATATTTTTTAATAAAATTGCTTCCTAGTATTCCTGGGTAGTTTATTGGAAAGTCGTCCCTTATTATATACATTGTGTGTTTTATACTCCTATTCTTTAGCTGTATAGTGGCTTTAATTTTCCCGATAACACATGGCTTGTGTCCGGTAACCCCTGTTATGTCTACTACCCCTGTTATATCTTTTGTTTTTTCGGCTGGAGTTTCTCCATGCAGGTACTTCTTTTTTACTAGTGACACGGTTTGCGCCGGTGTCATATAGCATTTCTACGTGACCTTTCTTTGCTTATCTCATTGGTACCACCACCAAGTCCAATCCTGCTTGTGTGGCGTTTATTTCGGTCACCTGTAACTCGGCTACCGACACACTTTTTTTTTCTTTTGTCTCCTTCTTCGTCACTACTGGACGATACGCTATTGTCGCGTCGGCTTTTTGCTTTCTGTACCGCATTCTCTCCCTTTGCGGTGTAATTTTTGTTATTTTTCCTGCCATTCAGCGACCAGCAGTTTTCTCGTATATGACCCGTTTTCCTGCAATAGTTGCAATATTTTTCTACTGCATTTACCCGACTATTGTCCGGCTTTGGTAATGTCATTTTGCTAGATCGGCATTCTCTCCCGTAATTACCGATCTTTCCGCACTTATAGCAAGTGAAATTCTTTTGGCCACGCACTTGTGGTGGCGCACAATTTTTCGGCCTCGTGCCCGCAATTTTTTCTTCCGCACTTGCACCAGCTATTGCTTCTTGCAATGTCTTATAACTGCGTGATTGTATTATCACTTTCAGATCCTCGCGTAGCTCGATTTAATAGTGATGCAAGGCTTGCTTTTTTATGGTTTCTAAAATCGTGCGCTTCTGTTTCATGGTTTGTACTTTACCTTTTATCATAGACTCGTAAAGTTCCATGGCCAACTGATTAACTCGCTGTCCATAATTTAACGCGCTTTCTTCATGCTTTTATTTTAGCGAGCTGAACTCTATCTGTAACTCGGTTGTGCCTTTTTTCGCGGAGTATGTAGCTTCGATCTCGTGTTTTAGCTGCTCGACATTGTTTACATCCCGAGTAGAAAATGAGTAAGGTTTGCCTGCATTTTGCTCCGAGCGCAATCAGGTAATGTCATGGCTTGCCTTATTTTGGAAAACCTGATCCGGTGCTGATAGTGTCTACATCAGGGTTACCGTATTATTTGATACATGTGGCCATTCTGTCAGCGCCGCAATGAAGGCTGCTCTATTAGCGCTTCATTGAGGAAATCCTTATGCGGTTCTGATTGGGTTTTTTCTAAAATTTTCTATTGAATG